AAAAAAAAAAAAAAAAAAAAAAAAAAAAAAAAAAAAAAAAAAAAAGGCTGAAAAGTGACTAAAAATTGTGCGCAAAATTGTGTGCAAATGGGTTACACAATGGTCGACAAAAGGGTAACAATGTTGTCCACGTGACGCACGACGCGGTAAGGAGACGTTTGCGTGCTGGCGCGCTCCTCAACCCCGGTGGGCACGCGCTGCGTCAGACCCCGACTCTTCCAATCGCAGCATGTCCAGCGTAGCCTCCTCGACGTTGTACTTGTGCGCGTTTTCCAGCAAATACTGCGCGATGTGCAGACAGGGGTTCTTGGGCTTGGTTCGACAAATGTGTATCAGGGCGTCTGTTAAAATGGGCAAAATATTCTTAATCAAGTAGAATCTCAGGGGGATAGACTGGTTATGAAAGTACTGCTGTTGATGTTCCAGAAGAAGTTCCTGTCTCTTTTTCTCTGCTTTTATTAATTCATCATTTTTGCTAATCTCTTCCCCAATGAGTTGATTTTCCTTCATCACAAGTTTTTCCTTTTCGAGGCAAAGTTCCTTCTCCTCTTGCTGCAATTTGTCTTTCAACATTTCCTCACGAGATGGAAGGAAATTATCAAACTTAACATTTTTTTCCATGTAAATGTATATATTTGTGAGTATATCATCTAATGAAGAGTCTTCATTTATTTGAACATTGAATACTTCTACCTCTCTTTCGAGGAAATAATCTTCAATAGACTTTTTCTGATCAAATTCAAAGTAATCATTTCTGCAATTTTCTTTTACATATTTTTTATGTCTTCTGTCAAATCCGCTTTCGTCGTTGTGTTCTTTTATTATTTCTTCCTCTGCTAGATTCATCATTCTGCTTCTGCACAGCTCCTCAGGGGACTTCAACACGATGACAAATTCGGGCAATGGGGCGTTTTTATTTGCCTCGTCTGGGATTTCCTTTGAGCCTCCTTTTGGAGTAGCCCCCGTTGAGGTGTTTCCTCCTTCAGGGGTTGTCGCCTGCGTGATGTCGTTGTCGGTTTTCCCTGGCGTGTGACCTTCGTCCACCTCCTCCGCTTCATCCACCTCATTTGCTGCGCTCGTTTCGCCGTCCCCCTTCTGTTGCGTCTCCAGCTCGTTCGTGCTGTCCCCGTCTGGCTGATGCACTTCATTACCGTCCGCAGTCAGATTCCCCCCGTGGCGCCCAAAGAAGTATTCCGCCTCTTCATAATTTCGCGGGAAGAAGTCCAAAACGAAGCCCCTAAATTTGCACTCGTTGCTTTGCAGCTTTTGATAAAACAGGGACGTCAGGTCTGGAAGGGTCAGCTTGGAGTTTCCCGTTACGCCCCCCTTTACATGTTTCTTGTTTTTCTTCCCCTCCTGTTCGTCATTTAGTTCACTTAAGTACTGCTTGTAGTACTCGGGAAAATCGTACCCCCTCTGTTTGAACTCCTGAATGAGGGAGGAGATTGAACACAGGTTCAAATTGTAGTGGTGGCATATTTTGTTGGCAATAAATGTTTTGCCCACTCCTGGCTGGCCAAGTATGAGGACCCTCAGCTGCTTCAAATTTCTGTATTGGCAGAACTCCGTGGCTATGGTGGAAATGTTTTTTGTGAACCCGTCGCTGCAGTGGAATGTGAATCGTTGACCTTTTGTGTGCTGCCCCTCCTGGTTGGTTCCCTTCTTCTTGGCGAGGTGCGTGTTGTCATCCAGTTGGTCCATGTCTGGCTTGTCCTCATCTTGCGTTTCGTCCGACTTGTCCACATCTTCTTCGTCGTCCTCCTCATCCTCTTCCTCTTCTTCTTCCTCATCATGCTCATCGTCTGCCGCCTCTCCACCCTCTTCATGGTGTTCACCTCCCCCCGCCTGTTCACCCTCTCCATCGCTTCCCTCCCACAACTGCGAACAGGAGAACCTCAAGTTGACGCACATGACCTCCGCGTAATCAAAGAGCAACGAATCGTGAGGAGACACGCTAAGGTACGTGGAATTTTCAGACACGAAATCTCCAACCGTTGTAATTAATCTCTTCTGAGTTAGATGTTCGTCATCCACAGCAATGAGGTATTTCCTTAGTGGCTGTCTCAAATACACCTCCTTCACGAACTGACACAGACCTTTCACATGAATAAGAGGAATAAAGTTATTTCCTTGGTCTATTATATGATTGTCTGCACTTAGCCAAGCATTTTTAAAAATAGGAAAAAATATATTCTCCCCATTTCCATACATGATCCCTGATGCCACCACATATGTGCTTAGTTTGTTCCTTGAGTTCAGCGATAAGATTAGAGTTTCAATAGTTTTGTGTTGCTCGTATTGTCTAGAGGGTGTTCTTTTCATGTAATCCTTTTCTGTGAAGACTTCCGGCACGTTGATGTGTTTAGTGGTACCACTGTAGGTGGAGTCTTCCGCTGAAACATGTTCCCCTTTTGTTTCTCCCACAGATTCAGTATAGCTATTCTCCCCCTGGAGAGAAAATTTCCTTTTGGTCTTGTTCCAAGTCATGACAGAGGAAATGAGCACCAAGGTGATATCCTTCTTCAGCTGCTCATACTTGACCTTCCGTATAATATATTCTAGTTCCTCCACATTCGTATTGTTTAAATCAAATATAATTAAATCGCATTGTAGTAGCTGCTTCACAATGTTGTCCTTGGGGATCCTCGACACCACCTTTGTGACCTCCCCATAATCATACTTGAGGCCATTCTTCCCTTTGCTTGGCTCTACCACAGTTCCATATACCTCCGTCTTTTCATTCCTCACCTCTTTGAACGTTTCGCACAGGCAGCTCCCTGTGTAGGTATTTACGTTGTGGATGAATACTTTCATTTTTTTTTTTTTTTTCCCTTCCTTCCTTTGATTATCGCGGCGAGGGAGAAGTAGCCCTTCTTCACGTCCACGTAGGAACTACTACGGTGAGCGCTCAGTTAAGGAGTCCTATTCGAACATCCCCACCGAGTATACAATTGAATCCACAGCAAGGCGCGTGGAGAGAACCCCCTTTTGTTTTTTTTTTTTTTGCCTCCCAAGATGGTTAATCACATTCAATATTTTTGTCGCGACCAGGGACATGGACGGGCAGACACATTGTCAGAATTCCCTCCCACGCGAGGTCAAACATACACATGTGACTGCTGACCCCCTTTTCACATTTCGAGTGGACCACCAGATGCGTGCATGAAAAACCGAGAAATAAAATTGCCTCTTTTGGAGGGAAGCGTGACGGAAATTTGGGGGAGAAAAAAAAAAAAAAATTGCACACACGCGCGCCAAGTGGGCACTGAAATCATCGCGTCGCACAATTTCTCGCAGGACCAGTTGCTTCGCATGAGGGCATATATGCACGTGCGTATGATTGTGTGTACGAGGGCGTACATGCAGTGTTCCCCCGTTTAACCCTTTTCCTGTTCACCTCTTACGTGTGGTGAAATGTGTCAAGCGCGTGGACACATTACATACCGATGGCTTCCACGCAAAAGCGGAGCTCAAAAATATGTATGCACCCGTTCGTCGCTGTAATGCACGTTGTAGAAGTAGAGAATGGATGCCCCCAAAAAAGGAGACGGGCTATTGGGGGGGAAGAAGTCAAGGTGGGAGATTTTTTTTTTTTTTTTTTTTTTTGCACTTGCTCCTGTCCACTATGGCTCTGTTCCATCCGCGTTTGGCACATGTTTTACCAACCAGTGTCCGCCAACTGGGGGGGATATTTTACTCGATGGAAACACAAACGAGGCGATAAAACGGAACAACATAAGTGGTGGTGGAACCAACGCTTGACGTGGAGTTAACCATGGGAAGCTAGACTGTTTGGCTGAACGTCCATTTCGCAGCGAAGACGGCGCCACAGGGACAGAATAGCGCGATGCGTGAAAATGGCTACATGGGTCAACAAGGTGTTCCCGGAGGGGGCCTCCTTCTTCTTTGTTCATTTGTTGCCCCATTTTTTGGTTCGCTTGTTTACACAACATGTTGGTGGTGCCTGTGTGGCAGTTTGAATCCGCGCACTCTACACCTGCTGCTGAACCTCCTACACTTTTTTTTTTTTTTTACTTGTTCCCCCCGATGCGCAATGTTAGGAAGCACGCACCACCGTTCAGAGTAACGCTAAGGGGGGGAAGGCAAGTACACTTACCCCCGATTGACACCATTACATGTAGTGGTAACCTTACGCAGTAAAAAGTTGCGCGACAGAGAAAAAAAAAAAAAAAACTTACGTACTTCTTACCCACCCTGAGAAAAATTTTAATAAAACGATTAAACCAAGTCCACCCCTAAGTCGCAGTGAATGACTACATTACATCTCTGCGAAAAGGAATATTATAAAGTGCGCTGCGGAAGCGGTTTTGCTGTGCCTCGTTTAGGGAAACAAAAA